TGTCTGAGATCAGACATTAGGGAAGAATATGAGCTGGAAGAGTTCAAGAAGTTCTGTACTCTGAATGGGATTCAGTTAGAGAGGACTACTCCAGGGACGTCGCAGCAGAACGACGTAGCAGAAAGAATAAACAAAACGCTGACAGAGCGTGCGAGGAGCATGCGTCTACATGCAGGTCTACCAATTGTTAGCTCGACCTGGTCTGAGCCACCATTTGGTGGCTCGGCCCCTGGCCTGGCGGAGCCACTGGCCTGGCCGAGTCGTTTTGACGCGACTCGGCCACCAAGGGCTTTCTCGGTATGTTTGGTCTGGACTCGTTTTGCCCTTCTATGTGCATTCCATTGTTTTGTTGACTTGTACACTTTACCGATTCACTTCATGAGTTTCATGAATGCGCAAGTCACTTGACGATGACCGATGGGCGCTTGGTTCGCTATTTCGGTGGTCGATGACCGTACGGGCTACTTGGAGCTGGCTGATGAGTGTGCGAACCACATAGAGTTGTCCGGTGAGCACACGGGCCACTTGGTTCGTCGTTTCAGTGGACGATGAGCATGTGAGCCACTTGGTTTGCCGTTTTGGTAGCTGATGAGCGTGTGGGCCACTTGACGATGGTCAGTGAGCACGTAGGCCACTTGGAGCTGGCTGATGAGTACGCGGGTCACATGGTTCACCGTTTTGGTGGCTGATGAGCGCGCAGACCACTTGGTTTGTCGTTTCGGTAGCTGATGAGCGTGTGGGCCACTTGGTGGTGGCCGGTGTGCACGCGGGCCACTTGGTGTTGGCCATTTTGGTGGTTCGCCGATTCACTTCATGCGCTTGTCGGCGTCAGATAATCCTCTTTGACTCGGATAATCCTCTTCGACTTGGATAATGATGTTCATCATCTTCCCTTTTTCTTGAGCTGTGTATGGATACCTATAGTCATTTTTAAACGCCTACAAATACCATCTCTAAAGTATTTCAGACTCATTCTTTTATAGAGGAGTCTGGAATGCTTTGGATAAAATAGGTCATGTTTTCAACCTCTTCAGTATTTTGTCGAGGAGATTGCATAGAAGGACTTGTGGATTGTTTCAATTCTTAACTTCTTCAGCCTTTAGTCTATTCAGTGTTTTATCGAATAGATGAAGTTCTTTTGGCACTGTGTTTATCGTCTGACCGTTATCAAAATCTTGAACTGAAGATGATGCGTAAATTTCTGAACTTAGATCTTGTCATTGAGATGACTTTGAACTAGGAAATTCATATCTGAATGTGATTGAACTCCCTGGAATCATCATTTGCCTTATTTTGGTGAGATTGCTGATGTGTTGACCGGCATCGATCTTTACTGTAGCACGTTTACCGGTGTTAACACAGTTTATACTCGTACGTTTGCTGAAGTCTACACAGTTTAAGCTCTTAAGGCATTAGAGCATGGCGGTCCTAACAGTTGGGGCTGCAGGACCAACTGTTAAAGCTGATTCATCTGCATATACGACTCTTATTCTAAAGTTGTTGGATGCTCAAGTCACGAGACCAACTAATGAGGCTGATGCGTCAATGAGTCTCATATTTATAGGATTTTTAGCAAACCCTCAGTCATCAATGGGTTTGATAAGCATTTACCGACTACCGTTTGAGCCGGGCTAGCATGCGAATTGTTTAAGTCTGTTCCTCATGTAACATTATACTAAAAGAGTTAACTCTTTTAGTGCTACGATATTGAATACGTAGACTTCATCTTTCTCACGGGAATAGATTACCCAGTCGTATGTATCAGATGCAGACTCAGGATTTTTGGTAAATCTTCAGCCATCAACGGATTTGACGTACCTTTACCGATTACCGTTTGAATCGGGCTTGCGTGCGAATTTTTTAAGTCCGTTCCGCACGTAACATTATGCTAAAAGAGTTAACTCTTTTAGTGCTACGATATTAAATACATAGACTTTATCTTTCTCACGGGAATAGACTACCTTGTTTCACTTCCTCGATCCTTTAATTGGTTCAAAGTGAATTTTTGTATTTAAGAACCAAATCTCACTTTGCCAGAACTGAGCAATATGTTGCAGAGGGTTGAGAATATTATGAATAAAGATAAGGCCATAGTGATGATTACAAAAATTGCTAGACCGTCTAACTATAAGAAAAAAAAAGTTTTCTTATAAGAAAAAGCCAGCAAAATGAAAGAGAGTTTCCAAGAAAGAAAAGAGGGATCAGACTGTTGCTGAATGCTTCTTTTGTAACAAGAAGAAGCATTGGAAAAGGAATTGTAAAGGTTACCTTGTATCATTAAAGAATGATAAATCTTTTGAAGGTATATCATCTCATTACTTAGTAGAGACTAATGTAGTGAGTTATTCTCCTTATATATGGTGTGTGGATTCCAGCTCATCTTCACATATTTGCAATTCCTTGCAGGGGTATAAAGAAAGGTGAAAGCTTGAAGTTGGAGAGATCACCTTAACAGCAGAGACTGGAGCCTTAGTTTCAGCATTATCTATAGGAACCTTTTTTTTGCATTTGAATAAAGGCCATGTATTGGAACTAAAAGATTGTCTTTATGTGCCATCCTTTAGAAGAAATTTGATTTCTGTTTCTAAACTTAGTAAAAATGGATATTCTATTTTATTTGGTGAAACATCTACTATAAAGTTTGGAAATTCTATTATTGCTCATTGTGAAGTTGATAATGACATATATTATATATCAACTGCCCTTAATTCTTATGCAAATGTTATTGAAGTTGATAAATCTATTAAACGTAAGTTTGATCAAAGTAATCTAACTTATCTTTGGCACACGAGGTTGGGTCATGTTAATATTGATCGGATCAATAGGTTGGTAAAGGATGCTCCTTTAGATTTTCTAAAAGTAGAAAATTTTCTAACTTGTGAACATTGCTCAAAAGGTAAGATGACTAAATTACATTTTTCAGGAAAACATGTCAGAGCTGAATGTACTCTTGACATTATACATTTTGATGTATGTGGCCCTTTAAATGTTAAAGCAAGAGGTGGATATTCATATTTTGTAACATTCACGGATGATGCGTCTCGATATGGCTATATTTATTTAGTATCTCATAAATCAGAATGTTTTGAAAAGTTCAAAGAATATAAAGCCAAAGTTGAAAAGAAACTTGATAGAAGTATTAAGGCCATCTGATCCGATCGAGGTGGTGAGTACCTATCTAAAGAGTTTAAGAAATTAATGAAAGAAAATGAAATTGTTAGTAATTTGACACCTCCCGGAACACCACAACATAACGGTGTGTCTGAAAGACGGAACCAAACCCTATTAGATATGGTTAGATCTATGCTTAGTCATTTTCAGGTTCCTACTTTCTTATGTGGTTATGCATTAGAGACTGCAAACTATTTGTTAAATAGAATTCCTACCAAATCTGTTTCGTCCACCCCATATGAGATAGAGACTGAAAAGAAACTAAGTGTTAGACACTTAAAGGTTTGGGGTTGTCCTGCTCATGTAAGAAAACAAATAATGGACAAATTAGAGTCTAGAACAAGTAGAGGCCTATTTGTAGGTTATCCTAAAGAAAATACTGGGTATTATATTTATAACCCCAGTGATCAGACAATGACTGTTAGTAAAAATGTATTCTTTCTAGAAGATCAAATTGTTGGTCAATGATCTATAACTCTAGAAGAAGAATCATCTTCTTAGATAGGAGAGTTATCTGATCCATTGGGAGAGACGCCAAACACCGTTGGAGATTCTATTGATTCAGTAGGAGTGTCAAGTGATAAAGTGAATGAAAATTTATTAACTAAATCTGTTGTTGATACACCAATTACAATAAGGAGATCAAGTAGGATCATTCATCCACCTGTACGATACAAGAACCTCGATGAAACATATTTGATGGAAAATAAAGAGGATGATGAAGATCCTATAACTTACAAAGAAGCTATGTCTGACATAGATTCTAGTAAGTGGACATAGATTCTAGTAAGTGGGTTGATGTCATGAAAGCCAAAATGGACTCCATGTATCATAACAAGGTATGGACCTTGGTTGATCCACCTATTGTGGTAAAACCTATAGGATGTAAATGGATATTTAAAAGAAAATATGGAGTTGATGGATATGTAGAGACATATAAAGCTCACTTAGTGGCAAAAGGTTATACTCAAAAGGAGGGCATTGATTACGAGGAAACCTTTTCTCTGGTTGTAATATTAAAGTCCATTAGGATCCTGTTAGCCATTGATGCATATTATGACTGTGAGATATGGTAAATGGATGTCAAAATAACTTTCTTAAATGGATATATTGAAGAAGATATTTACATGCAGCAACCAGAAGGTTATGTATGTAAAGGTCAAGAAAGTATGGTTTGCAAATTGAATCAGCCAATTTATGGACTTAAACAGGTTTCGAGGAGTTGGAATAATCATTTTGATGAAACGATTAAAGAATATGATTTTATCCAAAATTTTGAAGAAGCTTGTGTGTATAAGAAACAACAGAATAATTTCATTGTGTTCCTAGTGCTTTATGTTGATGATATACTACTAACTGGGAATGCTGTGGGTATGATGACATCGGTTAAATTATGGCTTTCAAACAAGTTCTCTATAAAAGATCTTGGTCAAGCATCCTATATTTTGGGTCTCAAACTCTATAGAGATAGAGAGAAGAGACGTATAGGATTATCACAGTCTACTTATGTGGATAAGATCCTCAGAAGGTTCAACATGCAAGATTCCAAGAAAGGATTACTTCCCACAAGAGATGGAATTTCACTCTCAAAGAAAAAATGTCCTAAATCTAAAGAGGAGATTGAGAGTTTTAGAAATATACCATATGCTTCAACAGTTGGTAGTTTGATGTATGCTATATTATATACAAGACATGACATAGCATATGTTGTTGGCCTTGTAAGTAGATTTCAGTCCAATCCTGATGAAGAACATTAGACTGCAGTGAAAGCCATATTTAAACATTTGCGTAGAACTAAAGACTATTGTTTAGTTTATGATGCAAATGACATGAGTATTGAAGGATACATTGATTCCGATTTCCAATCTAATCTAGATGATAGAAAGTCTACATCTGGATATGTTTATATCATTAATAATGGTGCTTTTAGTTGGAGAAGTATTAAGCAAAATGTCACCGATGATTCTACAACTGAAGCAGAATATGTAGCAGCAAGTGAAGCCGCAAAAGAAGGAGTATGGATAAATAAGTTTGTCCGTGAGCTTGACATAGTTCCTGCTAGTGTATTTCCTATTCCAGAAGGAGTATGGATAAATAAGTTTGTCCGTGAGCTTGACATAGTTCCTGCTAGTGTATTTCCTATTCCACTGTTCTGCGATAACAGTGGAGTTGTTGCTCAAATTAAACAACCAATGGCTCATCAGAAGTCTAAGCACGTTGAAAGGAAATATCATCTCGTTAGAGAGATTCACAACAGGAAAGATGTGTTAATTTAAAAGATTGCTACAATGGATAACATTGCAGATCCTTTCACAAAACCGTTGTCATAAAAGGTTTCTGACAAACATTTAGAAAAAATAGGAGTTAGGATTGTATCTGATTGGATGTGAGGGCAAGTGGGAGATTGTTAGAGTAGTGTTATATGCCCTTAAATATCCAATGCATTTTTATTAAATTTTAATTGAGTTTATTATTGCACATGTTGTTTGGGTGTCTTTTATATAATTGTTATATTATCCTTAGAGATTATTTTGTTAGATCATGCATTGTGATGGTCACTTTCTTGGAGATATGATCTAATTCAGAGATTTTTTAAATTTATGCTTAACCTATAACTAGTAAAGGATAGCTTTGTTATAGTAGGTTATTATGCATGACAACGACATATGAGATGTGATGGTTGATCTCAGTTATTGGGAATGAGGATTCTCCGGGTGTATATCATAAGCGCATATTTGATATGTGTAGTACAAGACCTTTTTTTTATTCTCTAGGACGAGTCACCTAAGAGATAGAAAATTCGAATTGTTACATGGTCTCTTAGACTTGATGATGTTATCATTTTCGATTTGATAATCTAATATACTTTGATATGATGGTTAAGCTTGTTTTACAAGTGGTATACAACCTAAAATATTGGGTTATTAGATTTTATTTAGGGAAATGATGGATATCTAGATAGGATCCAATATACTCAATTTTATGAGTTAATTTATTATGCATATCCCTTGAAGATATTAAATTCCTGTCGACGGGTGATTTTTTTTTTGAAATTATTTTTCTAAAATTATTTTCTTATAAAATAAAATATTTTAATGTTTCAAAATAATTTTTTATTTATGATCATGGGATTGCAATTTTGTAGGAATGAGCAAATAGGTGATTCGTCCTGCTCAATAAAGTTTCCTAAAATAAATTGATACTGGAAGGGACTGAATGTAAGATAATATTATTCACAAATATTTAATCTCATATTATGGAAGAGCTTTTATGAACAGTTGGTCGGATAGGGATTTGATTGTTAAATTAAAATTATTAATTTGATTAATAATTGGTTCTCGATATGGGAACCGACTGGTCTCACTAATGTCATTAGAAGATGTTTATATGCAATACAATTCTATTTCTATCCTAATTGTTATGGAAAGAATATTCTATCTTTAAATGTTAGCAATACAATTCTATTTCTATCCTAATTGTTATGGAAAGAATATTCTATCTTTAAATGTTATGGATAGAGTTTTAAACAATTAAGAAATTCTATCTTTAAATGTTATGGATAGAGTTTTAAACAATTAAGAATTGTTTTGAAATTGAAATCTATAAGTCAGGTCTAATCCTATATATAAGATTCATATGTAGCCTTGAAAATATGATAAGAAAAAAATAAAAAAAAAAGGAAATAGATTTTGAGAACCTATCTCTCAGTATTGCTCCTCTTCGGTGACGGGTGGATTTCAGTTGGACAAGCTATTTTGTTTTGATCTTGGGACGGATTATCAAAGAAATTCAGAAAGCGTTTCAAGTATTTTTTTTCTAGATTTTATTAATTTCGATTAATCTACATGATATGTAATTTTTCGCTGCATTGTATATTATGTTTCCAACAGAAAGATGCTCTTGAAGATGTCCTTGCCATGCGTTTACGGCTCCAATCAACCACTAAAGGTATCATGTGACCTAAAGTACTTGATGAATGAAGCCGGTAATATCTACATTTTTTGCACTTCTGGTTCATTTGAAAAATGATCTATACTACCAGAAAACATTCTAGTTCTGACTAAAGACAATTGTTTGGTTAATGCAATGGGGAAATGCAAATTAAATTGGCTAGATGGGTCCTCATATGCTAATGCTTATGAATGAACTTGTTGATTCTTTTTAAAGAAAGTTGAATTTCTTTAAAAGGATTAGGCAATGGGTCGGGGAAGTGACAACTCTGGAGTTAGAAGGCTTAAGCACATTTTTTCTTGAATGTTCTGGTGAACTCAAATAGGCAGAGTACATACTTTTTGCCATAATTTTTGCGATATATCTCTTTCAAGTTGTAAATTTTATTAAATTTTCATGTAACTTGGATAATAATGTTTTCTCGAGTTTAATCTGTTCAATTCTTTTACTTTAAACATTCATCCTAGAGAGAATGTGTTCACATGATGCAACACAGGTACAGTATAATAGTTTAGAAAAAAGTGTTTACTACTACTCTCAGACTTCTCTCAAAATAAAAAGAAATGATTGTCCTCAACTTCCCTCAAACATAATAATCATATTAGTACTAATTAGAAGAGCTTTGCTACAGGGACCCAAAATATGGGACCAATAGAGGGGACAAGTGAGGTGTCCCCCTCCTATTGGATAATGAGTTGGCCATCATTAATGATGGCCAACTCATTATCCAATAGGAGGGGGACACCTCACTTGTCCCCTCTATTGGTCCCATATTTTGGGTCCTTGGGGAATATTTCTTCTAGGAATTAGTCACTTCAACAATCTTTGATGACTATATATGTTAGGATTGTGTCTTTGATTATTTGTATAACTTCATGAGAATTAGATAAGGTCAGAGATCTATCATGATTAGAAGATTGAGTCTATTAGGAGTTTGAATCATATTCTAATTAGGAAGTTATGTTAGAGATAGAGTTTGATTTTCCTATATATATTCTTCTATTGTTAGGGGCTGTTTGGTTCGTTTCCTTGATATAGAGAAATGCAATTTCATGTAAAGAAACACAAGTTTTGAGTTTTCCAAACTTTTCCAAGAAATAGATTGTTTTGCTTTGGTTCGCACATAAAAAATGGTGGGAAACCAATGTATTTATTTTTCTTGTGTTTGGTTCGCATAGAAAAAAAAGGAAAATTTTTATAAACAAAGCAGAGAAGGAAAAAAATCTGACGTGGCAGAGTTTTCATCAATTTCACTTGGTTGGGGAAGGAAATCGGAGAGGGAAAAAAAATCTTAGTTGGCGGCGATTTCAGCAGAGTTTTCCCTCTTCCATTCGAGCGAACCAAAGCGGCACAAAGAAATGGACGGAAACAAAAAAGCTGACGTGGAGGGCTAAAAATCTGACGTGGAGGGGTTTTCTGAGTTTTCCACCCCTTATAATAGCGAACCAAACAAGCCCTTAGAGGAAAAACCAAGCAGAGGAGAGAGATCCAATATTCTTGTAATCTACGGGTAAGTTAACTGACTAACATCGGACAAACCCCTACAAAAATAACATGGAAACAATGCAGTCCCAAGCGGCCCAACGAGAACCCAGCTCCAATGACGAAACTACCCCTACCGTCCTCCCTACTTTCCCGCGTCTTCCAAACCGTTACCCTGATCCCTCGTCTTCCCCTCGTCCCCTTTGTTCAAATTAACCCTAAAAATCCCACCTTTTTACCTCCACCAAAAAAATCCCCAAATCCCCGCGTTCGAATCCCCAAATTCGAACCCGAGGTCCAAGGATTAGGGCTTCATCGATCCGTCCAATGTCTTAACCGTCCCTCATTCGCCATGTGGATGTTCTGCGCGCCGTTCGCCCCAAATCGGCTTTCTCCTCCTCTTCCGCTCCGCCGCTCCCTCCGCCTCCCCGCCGCCGCCGTCGCGACCCCATCACTTCCGCCACCGCCGACCTGGATCCCCCGGAAACCCCTCAAAATCCCTGAACCGGAATCCGCCTATCCAACCCGAACCCGGTATTCAATCCGCACACCGAACACCGAAACGAAGCCCGTCCCCTCCGGAGGCGAAGCGGACTCGAGACGGTTCGCGTTTCGGGGTACTTTGTGTAAGCGCATGCATAGGAGAGATTTCGAAAGTATGGGTAGATAAGTGCTTACTCCCGCCAGCAATTTGGAAGGAGAACATAGGAGGACGCTACAGGAACCTTACACGTGTGTCCCGGTTCCATCGGCGGAAGACAAACGCGAGTGTACGAAGGTGGACAGGATATTTCGTATAGACTCATTGTTTAGGAACCCAAACCCAAGAAGCCCCACGACATTCGCCGCACGTCAAGCGTAGCTGGCCTTCAAGTCGAATCCATCCTCAAACGTAAAACCGAAACCCTAAAAGACATATACAACATAGGTCGAAAACTAGGGCAAGGTCAATTTGGTACCACTTACCTCTGCGTCGAGAAATCAACGGGTAAAGAGTTTGCGTGCAAGTCGATTCTTAAGAGAAAGCTGACGAATGACGAGGATGTTGAGGATGTGAGGAGAGAGATTCAGATAATGCACCATTTGACCGGGCATCCTAATGTTATATCGATTTGTGGGGCTTACGAGGATTCGATGGCGGTGCACGTGGTTATGGAGCTTTGTGCAGGGGGAGAGTTGTTTGATAGGATTATAGAGAAGGGGCATTATTCGGAGAAGAAGGCGGCGGAGCTCGCGAGGGTTATTGTTGGGGTTGTAGAGGTTTGTCATTCTCTTGGGGTGATGCATAGAGATCTCAAGCCAGAGAATTTCTTGTTTGTAGGGAGAGAGGAGGATGCTAAGCTTAAGACTATTGATTTCGGGCTGTCCATATTCTTTATGCCAGGTAGTTCTTTTCTCTGTTCTGGTACTTGATTCCTGAATTCAAGTTAGTTGAATGTATCTTCAAAGAGAACTCGTGCATATATTACATGCAACCCATATGGAAAAAAAAAGGGATGCAGGGCATTGTGCACTTTGAATGGTGGAACTTTATGTCAAAAGTCTGGCTTAAGTTACAAATAAATTTGCACAACTATTGTGCGTCTTATGATGTCTCCGACATTGGATAGACTTTACCCAACAGTGTTTGAGACTTATATTGACATGCATTGACGCTTATTTGTGTATAAATTAACCCTCACCAGTCACCGCGACTTACAGAGTTTTGGTGTAGACTGTGTAGTGGCAGGGAGTTTAAGGTGGTACCAAAGCGACTGATGTCCGAATCTTGTTGGCCAAGAATTTTTGAAGCGGAATAAAAAAAAGATACCAAGTGATGAGCATCGTCCTTCTAACTGCAATGCTTTTCAAGGAGGTCTGCTAATTAATCGTCATCTTTTTGGTAGTAACACCTGAGTGGTGTTTATGAACTAGGCTTTGCTCAAATGTAGTTGAGATTTGTGTGGTAAACAGTCTATCTTGTTGCAGAAGAGACCCAAGTTAAGTCATGCATTTCTTTGCAAGGAAATGTGCTAATTAATGTATAATTTTGGTTGTAATACATGT